AGTTGCCTGCCCCTTCTTCCAAAGGTCATAAACTCTCCTTTTTTTCCTGAGTTCCAGCCAAAGCTCTCTGTTCAGCCAGGCCGGTGGTCTTCCCTGCCGGCTCATCTTTCAGCACATGGGGACAGCCTGCTCCTGCGCCTTGAAGATTTCCTTCTTGAAGAATGTCCAGCCTTCCTGGACTCCTTTGCCCTTCAGGACCAGCTCCCAAGGGACTCTGTCAACGAGTCTCCTAAACAGGCCAAAGTCTGCCCTCTGGAAGTAGCAGTTCTGCTGATCTGCCTCCTTACTTCTCCAAGAATCGAAAACTCTATCATTTTGTGATCGCTATGCCCAAGACAGCCTCCAACTGTCACATCACCCACAAGTCCTTCTCTGTTCACAAACAACCACCTTCTGTTGTCCTATGTACCACCAATGGCTGCACTCAGCAGAACAAGTAGCTCTGCTCTAAGTGATGATGTCGCAGAGCATGGTTTGCTTTGTGTCCTGCCCGTCCTTCCTATAGAGCCTTGCTGGGATGCTAAGTTTGTTGCTCTTCACATGTCCAGATAGGGCTTTTGCCAGAGGGAGGAGGTTTTCTTCCAGGCAACTGCTCAGGAATAAAAAAATGGGAGAAGGGGAGAAATGAATGTGTTATCAAATTACAAATGTTAGTGGTAACCTCATAAGAACGTAAGAAATACCCTGCTGGGTCAGATCAGGGGTCGATCCGACCTAGTGTTCTGTCTTGGGCAGTAGGAGTAAGTGATACTATTTAGGAAGAGCATGAAAGCCCAGCCACTTTTTAGTGTTTTCTACTCCAACACCCATATTTGTTAAATTAGGCATGCTAGCAGGTACATCACTTATGTCCCCATTGTCTATGAACTTTTCTGTTGTCTTTTTGAACCTGATGATACTGTCTGCTTCCATAGCCTCCTGTGACAGCAAGTTCCAGCAGTTCACTACCCATGAGTAGTAAAAATGAAGAAGTACTTAGTATGTTTTGAGTCAATCTTTTCTAGCTTCATCAAGTACCCCTAGTTCTAATATTGTGTGATATGGTATACGACTGGTCTATATTCACCTTATACCCTACCATGATTTTTTAAACCTGCGTCATGTCTTACATCATTTGGCAATGACACACATTTTTGGGTTCTCTTCTTTGCTCCGTTGCTTCTGACTAGCTCAAAATCTTTTATTTAGAAGCAGTTGTTTTAAGGAAAATCTAGGTTCCTCAAGAAGCAGCCTCTGGTTTCTCATTCATGGGTTGTGGCTAAAGCCAGTTTGAGCGTATGCAGGCATAAATTCTGTTTCTGTTGAATGTTTCTACAGCTTCAATGTAGAGCATAAATGCAAACCCCAAACCAGCTTCTGGAAAGTTTTGTACCCTGATATTTTTGCAGTGAAGTACAGCTGCTTAAGCATTTGATTTTTCCAGGGGAAGTCCATGTTTCCGTCATCTCTTACTGAATCCTGTGGGACAAAAATAATCTCTCCCCCACCCACTATTTAGCTAAGTGTAGTTTCAGTTCTCTTCAGTTAAGCGACATGTGCCTATTCCATGCTTGTGCTACTTTTTATGTAGCAGCAAAAAGCTCTGTTAAGAACTCCTGTATATTTTGTTCAAAATAAAATACTGCATCAGATTAAATCAGAATCAATAGATTTAAAAGTTTTTGTTATATATATATGGTATGCTATGGAAGTAAACAGAAAAATCTCTTTTTAGATTAAATACAACTTCAGTCCCTGATCCTGGCAGTGTATCCACATATTGCCACTGTCCTTCGGGGAGTCTGTGTAGGAATGTACCCATAAAGACATAATTGCAAGTTTGAGAGAGTTGCTGTTGTTTTTTTTTAATATAACATTGGCTGCTAGGTATATTAGCTTGCTTTTTGTTTGTTACACTGTAGTTGCACTAATTGATTCCTATCAGGATTTTTAACATGGTTATATTTGCATGAGTTTCTCTTAGTGTATATATAGACCCAAAAATTCATGTTCAAACTCATTGGTTTCCCTGAGGATTATTGTCAGTATTTTTTCTTAAATGTTTCATATGGCATTGTACTTGTGCCCTGTATCTTTCAGACAAGTGAGAAGTAAAATACTATGGCTGCCTTGACACAGTCAAGTTAAATCCAAAAATAAGACTGGGGGCACAAGAATAAATCCAGGATTATAGTGGCTGGGAACTGCAGAGCAGTTTCTTTACAGAAGCTTAACGGAGGCACACCAGGTATGCATTTCTTGCTGTTTACTTTGGAACCGTTCTGAAGAACTCTTTTTCTTTGGTCTGGTGCTTGATAACCTTCAGAAAAGAAATGTTGCTGGGTTGTGCAAAAGAGGAAAAGGTCATTGATACGTCAAAAACTCTGCAAAGCATGATAGTAGTAGCTTAAAAGAAGGTGGTAAATAAAACAGAGAGAGCAGCATGTGAGTCACCCAACTGCAAGATGCACTTGTTCTTTGAAGTTTTTCATCCTGTCCAGTATGCCACCAAATACGAGCTTTGGTTAACTGTCAGGAGAAGCAAACTCCAGAGCAAAAGGCTTTCTGTCAGCTTCGTTCTGTGTATGAGATGCAATTAGTTAAGACTCATTTGATTACTTTTCTACCATACTAATGGAAGAGGCTGTCTCTTAAACATATGGGACCCAAACCCAGGTCACAACTCCCATGTTGGGCATGTCACCATGGGATTTATTTTTTCTTTCACGTTGTTGCTGGATAATATGGAAGTGTATGTCACTATCTGCCTTAACAAAGGCGTCTGAAAGGGTTATTTGGTTCTCAGCATGCTAAAGAAGAGATAGTTCCCTCTTCCCATTCTGTGTTTTTGAAGGGCACAGCCAACAATGAACTTTTTTGTTCTTAGGACTGACGCGTTGTGAAGGGTCATACTCCAATGATTAGTTTCAAATATATATAGTATGTGCTCTGTACTTTCGTGCATTGAGAGAAGTTGGGAAAGGTGAATGGACCCGGATTAGATGTCTGTGCTTGTGTTGTTGTGGCTATCCGGCGTAAACAAAGTGTAAGGCCCCTGCTCCTGGGTGTGTGTGCTTGCAAGTGTGCATGGAAAGGAAACTGTGTATAAAGAGGAAATACGAAATGATTCTTATTATTGTCAAATGATTAATCAGGTTGCTTGCACTTGTGCTAGTTACATTTTGTAGCATGCGCATCTCCATTCTGTATGCTCTGTATGCTGCATATATGCATATACAACTGTTCCAAGAATTTTAAGTGTGTTTTTAAATTTGTAGTAGCATTCTGTCCTTCTGCTTCTACAGCTAGATATATGATAATGAAAGGCCTGGTTTATGCAGTTTACTGTTAGAGGTGTGATAGGGTGTTTTGTTTTGCTCTGGTAACTTAAAGTTGCTTTCCTAGATCCCCCGATGCCACAGTGCTTGTCATTTTCTCAGGGTTCTTTTATACAGTGGGAAGTGAAGGCTTGTACCTTCACAAGAGGAAACTGCACCTTTCCTGCAAAGCCTGTGTAGGCTCCCTCCTTGCAATCGTGTTCTTGCCATTTCGGGCCTTGGGAACAAGTAAGTTGATTGAGGTGGCAATCTGTACATTTGTCACATGCCTCTAATTTATTACATATTTCCTGAATATCACCTCTATGTACATTCCTTTCCTTGGTATATAACACATGTGAAACTGAACTGAGTACTGAATATGCCATGTTCAAAAGAGTTTATTCCAGTGTTTCAGGATGGCCTTTCTGAATAAAAGCAGCCTTTTGCAGGCTAAGCTGGGCGTAGCAGACTAGCTGCAGATTATGTGTACTGTTAATTTTATTTGAAGCTGCCTGGGGGTGGGGTTTTTTGTTTGTTTGTTTGTTTTTTTAAAAGATGATTGCCAAAGCTCCATAGTGTTAGGAAGTTAAAAAGTACCTTATGATTGCATGGATTTGTTATTTTGTTGCACTGTAGGAGTCTATTTTAGGGGGAAAAAACCCCAGCCTCTTGCTGAAATGACATTTCAACCCTCCTGGCATCAATGGGAGTACTGCCTCTGACATTATTAATGCCCACATTTACCTAAAATAAGTACAATAAGGTAGGAAAAGCTCTGAAGAACCATGATGACCTCAGGAAGCATATTGATGCTTGCAGAAGCTGTGGGCAGCTACAAGATCTGAAGACTGTTTGTCAGGTGTGGTAAAGAAAGCTTTTTTTCTAAAAAAAAAAAAGCTTCCTTGCACTGCCTGATGAAATAAAATTTTGCAGAGTAAGGATAGTTGCCAGCGTTTTTGTAACCAAAGATACCTGAAGTAAAACCTCTGCAATCAAATGGGTTAATCATCATTCAACTTGATTCCTGAAAGCAAGTGATCTAATCTGACGCTTAACCTTTTTCAACTTGTAGCTCCTAATCACTTTCTGATAGATGAGTGGAGTTTTGTTCAACAGGTTTAAGTGTGGTGGCAGTAGAATTTTTTTTCCCCCAATAATTTCCTTTCACGGTTTCTGAAGATTTGTGACTACTGATTGAAAACTATTGTGTTAGTAGATTTGGCTTATTGGATGCTAGCTGAACCACAGGTTTAGTGGCTACGTCTGGCCACTTACTTATTAAGCAGTAATAATATCTATTTTATTCTGACTGACACTGACCTTTTTGATATTTTCCTTAGACAATCTGCTTCATCTTGATTCATCATCATTCCAGGATAGTGGTGTCCTTGGGGCTCTCTCTTAACATTGATATGGTACAGAAGATTTAAAGTCAGGTATTGTTTTGGATCCCTCTTTCCTGCCAAAATGAAACACACAATCTAGAACTGAATGCATTTTTTTTTTCCCTTATGTGATTTGTCTTAATATTTTGGTTCTTTCAGCTGATGTTCACAAGGAATAGAGTCACGTGATGTATGAAGGCAAACACATACACTTCTCTGAGGTTGACAATAAGCCCTTGTGCTCATATAGCCCCAAACTGTGCAAGCAGAGGCGACTTAACGGGTACGCCTTCTGTATCAGACACGTTCTGGAGGACAAGACTGCCCCCTTCAAGCAATGTGAATATGTGGCCAAGTATAACAGCCAACGCTGCACCAACCCCATCCCCAAATCTGAGGACCGTAGGTGAGTTGTGGTTACCCATCTGCAAAGTGGGAAGCGGCTGTGACATAGGCATGAGTTTTCTTTTAAGATGCTGCCTGGTTTCAGGATGAGGGAGGAACTGGACTGAGTGGATTGAATTCCAGGATGTTCCTTTGAGGGTTTTGTTTTAAGCCCAGTAAACTTAATTTTATTTTCTGTGGGAGTCAAGTACTCAGAAAGTGGGCAGTAACTTACTCCTAAGGAAGTTTTTGGGAGAGTTCATTGCTTTTCTCAAATTCACTATAAACTGTGGATCAAACCTGCTACACAAAATCTGCTGTTCTAATTAATTTGCTTTGTCACTCACAGTATATGCTCTTAAAAAGGCCTGCTTGTTTGGCCAGCTGTGCCAAAAGCACACTTCCGTCTACTTTTTCAGGACAGTTGAAAATGCATACCTTCTGGGCTTAGGGAGCAGTGACACATAGGGACGAATTCAGAATTACAATTCAGTGTTTGTGATTTGGTACTGATCTGTAGTGTTGTATTACTGGAATAAAATAAATGCTACTTGATAACAAATGAGCCAGCTGGGAAAGTGCTGTCTACTCCCTTTCTTCTCTGTTTCCCCAGTTCCTCTCCCCCTCCCTGCCCAAATGAAGATGCCCAAGGTGCCCAGGTACTAAATGCCTTGCAAAAAATAGTGCTTGAAGTTGTTGGGGAACTGGGAATTCAAACCAGATTTCCTGAATTGCAGCCCCTACTGTAACCACAAGGACATTCTTCCTTGCTCTTTAAGACTTCCTGAACACCAGTCTCATTGGTGTTGCTTGGGCTGAAATAGCAGAATTTGTCTAATCTTGGCTGCCAGGTATACATGACTTTAGTTTTTCAGAGTCATTGTTTCAGGTTTTGCCAGTAACACAGTATTTAATTAACGTATGTGTTAACTATCTGAGACTTGTTCTGTTAGAAATGATTTTTTTAACCTAAAATATAAAGAAAATATGCCAAAAAAGAATCAAACCACTATTCACTGACCTTTCACATTATTAAGTGCCATTCACTAACCTTTTGCTTTATTAGCAGTGTTCCCACTGTGCCCTACATATAACTTCCTTCTCAGCTCACAGCTCCCTCTCTTGTCTGAACAACAGTTGGACTGTGCTCTAAATTAACTTGCACTTCACCTGCCATTTCAGTTGAGGAGACTGATGAAGTGAGAAAAAACCATGAATGTTTGTCAAAAGCTGTAGGGCAAATGCTCAAATGGCACAAGATGAATAACTTTAAGCTGTAATTTGACAGTCGTTGACTGTTTCTTTGCTACTGCACAATTGAGGCTCTTTGGAAATAAGCTTGCAGAAATGATCATGGAATTTTTTAGCGCAAATGGTATGCTGTAATTTCAGATGCAAGAGCTGATTGAGCCAGAGTTGCTGTTTACCAGGGGTCATACTTAAAAACAATAGAAATAGTAGTACTTCATGACACTTTTTTAGGTCTCATATGTTCCCATGGAATTTGAGATTTTTCTTTACACCTTGAATTGAGTTCACACTTTGTTCTTTTTGATTTTTCTCAAGTTAAAGTGAAGTGTGGTCATGACATCTGGTGTATGTTATATTAGAATAATTCAATTGCATGTCGAGTGTCACATTACAGTACTTGAAGAGGACAGCAGGTGTCTGAAGGAGAAAATAAACTTTTAATTTCAAATGAGAGGATGTGATAGTTTGAAAGAATATTTTAAAAGACTGCTTCTCAGGGCAGAGTTTAATTTTAACAATAAAATTTAATGAATGCTAGTGGTAAGACTGTGCCTGCTCTAAATTTTTTTTTTTGGCAGGCAAACCTGTATCTGTTTCTTAGGAGACTTTTTTCACACTCCGTTTGATATAAAGATGTTTGCTATGTCTGAGTTCTTCACTTGTAGCTTTTAATTTTCTGTGTACAAAATTACTGTCAGATGGTCATTTTGTCACAGTTTTAGACGTGTAATTGTACATGATCAGAAGCAGGCTAGCTTCTAGCAGGCTAGCAGGATAGCTGTGACAGCTATCTTCTTATATACTTTTAAAGATTATAAAAAATAAAATGTCTTAACAGGACGCATGCATTCTATGCCAAAAGCTTCATACTCTGTCCACAGATAATTAAAAAAAATTATCACTTGACCCCAGACAAATGAGATGCTACCAGCCACAAAGATGTTTAATATGCTGCTATATTATTAGATTTCTTATTAACAATTAACATTCTACAAATTAAATCTATTAATAGTGCATGACTTCATTGGCTTATTTGAAGTCTAATTTCTCTATTCACTATCTTGTTTTTTTAAAGAATATATACGGGATGATACAGACATGGGTTCTGTATCTGTATTTCCTCTGAATACATGCATCTTAATTCTTTCTTATCCAAATACACACATAGAAAATGAAGTTCGACTTAATTTTTAAGTATAGGGTTATTACAATTTAGCTGAGTTAAACAACATTTTATCTATTTATTTATTTAAAGAGAATCTTTAAATATTTTGTTAATATGCAAGATGCTTTCCAGTTTGTTTGGATCTTCCTTTAAATAAGCGACAGAACTTGATACCAGTCTGGGATGTACTGGGAAGCAGAATGCAGTTGTAGGTGGAAAACCTCGCTGTGTGGATTCTTGCCCTCCCAGTGATGTGGGAAACTGTCCAGCTGAAGCCTCAGAGCCCATCGCCTTTTGTGTGCTTCATGTTATGATAATTTTAATGGATATCAACCCACTGCTCTTACCATATGTGCTGACTGCATTTGGCCTCACCTGCACAGAATAAGTGCCTTTGGCACTGAGGAAGGAAGGGGGAAAAAATATATTAGATACTCAATGTGGTACTGTCAGCTGAGAATAACTCACAGGCAGGTTATAGAAGTGACAAATTGTGCCACTAAGACAGGCACATCAGAATTGGCTCTTGTAGGGCCAGCTTGACCCTAACGGGTTTCATGCTCAGAGCCATGTGAAAAGGACTGTGCTGCTTGCAGGTGCTATTCCAGTCTTCCCAGTAATCTGTCTTCCATGGAGCATGAACTACTAACGCCTTCCCTGGCATTACATCTGATCCAGAGAGTTTATTGCCTTAACTCAGCTGGTTATGGACTGGTTCCAGCAGAGTCAGTTAATGTCTGCACCAAGCTCTGCAGCACCGCGTAAAGTCAGAGTCAGTTTGGGCCAGGGCCAACTAAAAAGCCGTCCTGGAACCTGAAGAACAGGGAAGTGGGGGTGCGTGCCTGCCTGCCTCCATATGGGACCAGCTAGAGCCTGGCAAGGCCAAGGTTGAGTTGGTGCTAATAAATTATGCCTAGCCAAAACTGCCTGCGTCTAGTCTTCTCTACCCTGAGAAGACTTAAGTGCTCTTCCCAGCTTCTCTTGCTCCTTTTAGTCCAGCGGGCAAGGTGTATCAGCCGCAGTTATGCTGGAAGACAGAGAGTTGATAGAGCCTAAAGCACAGAGCCAAGTCAATGTGTACTGGAGTCTGCAAGTGCATGTAATCTATATTTTCATTATGTTGTAGCCTGACATCTATGGGTTTGTGTCTAGAGGTGATGCCTGTGTGAGAGATTGTTGGCTTTCAGTGGTGCAGCATGGTCATTTGTAAGAGCCAAAGCTTTATTCTCTGCCATATAACAATGATGCTGTTAGAGTTAAACAAACAAGCAAAACCCTTAATAGCCTAAAACTCAGAGAATGTTAGCAACCTAATTACCTTTTCATAGGTTTATTCACATTTTCTATTTTTTGCTTTCTCTTTGGTTTTCACAATGAAAACAGACTAGCCAGTTTTACCTCCTTGCTCCTGCACAAGCACAAGGTGGCAATATTTAAGTTCTGAACAATATAAAGGAATTATATTTTTTCTCATATGGAGAAAAACGCTCTTTTTATTGGAATAAGAGGGGAAAAAATTCCATTGTGTTTGTCTTGTCTGTTTATTTTTTTTTCTTCTGTCATACTAAAAGTGCTGTTCTAACTGATCTCATCAGTCTTGTTCAAACAAAATATTTTAAAAGTGCTTAATTTTAATTATGGGAATGGTGCTGTTGACTTTAAGGGAAGCTTTATTGAGCCCTCATTATATAATTTTATTTTTAGAAGTGCATCTCTCAGTATTAATTTACAGTATTCCAGTGTATTCTAATAAGGACTCCACACATTGCTGGCTTTCAGCTTGCCTCATTTAGATTTATTTATTACTTACAACTTAATGTAATAAAGAAATTATTTAGACAATAATAAGTAGCAGTACTTCTCAGCCTTTTCTGAGTTGTGAATCCTTATGGGTGTGGATCCCTCGAGAAACTACATGTATGGAGATCGTTAAGGAGCATACATGAATTTGCTTTTTCTTTTTTACCTTTTATGGACCCTTTAGAAGCAGTTCACACATTGATTCTTTAGGGGTGGAACAGCAAGTTGAAAGTCACCAAGGTGAAGTGTTAAACCTTTTTGGGGGTTTGGTTTGAGCTTTTCTGTTATTTTTTCTCCATGAAGACCAGGGATGATTTCATTTTAACCTATTTGTTCAACAAAACTTACTTTTCTCAGATTCATGCTGATCGGATTTTATACCTTCATGGTATATTTGCTTATCTTGTCCTTATTCATATCCATGAATACCTTCATGGATGTGTCCTTAGCTTGTTCATTAATACCTTGATGTAGACATCACTTTTTCCTCATATCTTTGTTTTCATGTATAAGCTGCAGGTTATAGATGGGATCCTGCAAGGGCAGAAGTCTGATTGCTGGTGGCATTCTACAGAGGCAGGAGGGCCTGCCTGTGTGAAACAGGAAAAGGATCAGATCATGGTTCCTACATTTCTGTCACCTTCTTGTATTAATCAGAGAAAAATTACTTGTTTACTTCTTAATATGTTATCTGTGGCCATAAATTGTAACTCTTCTTTTAATTTTCATGACAAACTTTCAAAGACTTTTTTCCTTTTTTCTTTTTTTTTTTTTAAATAACATGACTGTAAAAGCTTTTTTTATATTAGAAAAGCTTAAAGTCCATGTTTGTGGATTGTATGTATACATATTCCTGGCATTGTGTAAACATTTTCTAGCAGCAGAGAATTTCTTTTAAACTAGACTTTTGTTTGAAGAACATGCAGCTATTCCTCTGGCTACAAAATTCATCATGTTAAACTACTAAAACAGAACTTAAATATTTATGCTACTTGTTCATTAAGTGCAAATAGTGACCCTTCTCAGCAGGTGTCTCTAGTGAGATTGTCCATATAAGAAACTGCTCCCTACTACAGTGGAATTCATAACAATAATGTGTGCATTGATGAAAATGTTAACTACTTCCAGTGAAAGAACAGCTGAATGAAAGGAAGTTGTCTTCAATGTACCTTTTTTTGGGAGCTTTTGAAATGATCAGAGTTAATGGCTTGAGTTCTTGCTGTTTTATGTATCAGACAGTCCATTTGTTTTGTTTGGTTTGTTTTGTGAGTATTTACCCTATTAGTAAATATTTTGAATGGTTGTGTGTGAATCTCCTATGAATAATGACTGAAGACTTTTATATCTTAAGATTACAAATTGTCACTTGTATAACGTTTTGTTTTTTGTTACGGGTTGGGAACACCACAGTTACCTGTTGTATTAGAAGCAGTTGTGTACACTTCTTATAAAACCTCATGTTTTGATCTAAATTTGCATGAGATGGGTGTGTGTGGATTTCCCTTTAGTGATGTCTGTTTTCTTCAGATTTTACTTACAAGAGTTGAGTTAATAACTGACTGCTTTTACTTTTCAAAGGTACTGCAACAGCCACCTGCAGGTACTTGGCTTTATACCGAAAAAGGAGAGGAAGAAAAAGAATGATCCCATAGAGGAGGTAAAGGTCAGGCATCAGATGGATGCTATGGCCTTCAGTCTGACAGTGCCCACCCTGGCCTTGAAGATGCCCAATGGACTGGATGGGATGTCCCTCTCCCCTCCAGGGGCTAGGCTTCCTCTCCATTACCTGGAGGCAGAATTAGAAGACCCCTTTGCTTTCAACGAGGAAGATGATGACCTAAAGAAAGGGGCAACAGTGAGGAAAAAGTTGCAGAGCAAGTTGGCTCAAAACCGGCAGCGCCAGAGAGAGACAGAGATTTTAAAAGTTCGCCAAGAGCACTTTAGCCCCCTTCCTGCACCTTTGCAGCAGCAGCCTCTGCAGCAGCAGCACTCCCATCTGCCACCTTCATCAGCTTCATTAAAGCCGACAGGGCTACCGCAGGGCGTAGTCTGCAAGTCACCTCAACCTCCGAACACCAGCCTACCAATGCAGGGAGTGGCACCTACCACACACACTATAGCACAAGCCCGGCAGTTGTCTAACAAGAGACCTCTGCCTCTCCTGCCACCCGCTAGGGCTCCTGTCACGGACCCTCCAAGGACTGATCGGGTCCTCATGAAAGCCACAACCTTTTCTCCGCACTCGTCCTGCATGAGCCGGCTACAGAGACTGGTGAAACTGTGCACTCGAAAACAGCAGCTGGACACTGATCTGTTTCCACATTTAGGTGGGTAGATTATAGATGCACTGCCTGCTTATTTTTTAACCTGAAACCAAAAAACAAAAGAGGAATGTCTTCCTAGCCTTGTCCTGCATTCGTGTGTGGTCCGTACAAAATAATCCTGAACTAGGTAATCTCTTGGTGTTTTCTTTAGCCCTGTTCTCTACGAAGGGAATGCCTGGACCCATCGCGTATGTTTTATGGCATTTTGGTTATTTATTCTTCTTAATGTCCCGTTAACCATTTGAGAAATCAAACTGAGGTGTAGAAAGCATTGCTTGGATGATACAGACATCGTACAGAAGGTTTGCAACTTGAGCAGTAAAGGTGGCACAGCTGTACCTACATGAGTGGACAAGGTTAGATGGAATGTAAATATGTGACAAGTGCACATTATAAAATCAGTGCAAGTAGAAGTTTGGAGATTAGGCCCATCATTCTGTGCAGATCCAAATTTCCAGTTGACTTGACTGGGAAAATTGGAACATAAGAGAATTTTTCTTGACTGGGCCTATTCTGGGCTTGTACAGAATGTGGATGAACAAAAGTAAAAGATTACTGCAGGAGGGCAGCACCGTTACAGAAGGTAATTGGAGAGGTGGAGTCTTGTCTACATACCAGTGCAGGAATAGTCTCCTCCTCATTTATTATCTAGAAACCGTAATAATCAATTGCTGCTTATGAAAATGTAAGTAAATATAACAAACTTGCTGCTATGGCAGTAGTGCTCTCTAAAGCTTTAAAAAGGCAGCTGACTTTGTGGCTTAGTTGTCTGATTATGAATACAGACCTAGGTACACCTAGCTGTCCTTGTTATTTCCCTTATCCTCCAAAGTCACCTTACTTTTCTGCTTAGTTTTAGACTGTACTTTTCTAACAAGTAAAATACTGACAGGGAAAAGGGAAACAGGAGTCAGTGTGTGATATTAGAACAGGATTGCCATTTATGATGCTTAAAAAAAAAAAAGACTTAAATCTGGACGTTCTTCATATAACATCTTATTTAATTGCAAACATCTGTAATTTTTGCTATTTCAATTAACCTTTTTTTAATTTGCTGTTAAGATCTGCCCTTTGGCACTCATGGGATAGCTTGACTATTTGTTCAGAAGATAATTAGTATCCCATAGCATGTCTCCAAAGGACGTTGTTCTTCAGAAAACCGCTTTGATGGTCCTACATATAATGCACGTCTTTTGAGGAATGGCAGCTCCAGAGGCACTTCTGAGTGTCACAGACCCCAATAGCTTAGAAAGTGACCTGCATTTTGAACAACTGTAGAAAGATCACTTTCTGTGTTTAATGTTTTACATTCTCAAGTGGTGTCGTGGTTTAATCTCAGCTGGCAACTGAGCACCACAAAGCCG